CCTGTGTGTAGTGTAGTCTTGTATGTGTAGGGGAAGTGTAGTCCTGTATGTGGGAATTGTAGGTGTGTGTGTGTGTGTGTGGTGGTGAGTTTAGTCCTGTGTGCAGTGTATTCCTGTATGATGTATGTGTAAGGGAAGTGTAGTCCTCTATGTGTAGTTTAGTCCTGTATGTTGTATGTGTGGGGGATGTGTAGCCCTGTATGTGTAGTCCTGTGTGTAGTGTATTCCAGTATGTTGTACGTGTAGTCCTGTTTGTGTGGTGAAAGTGTAGTCCTGTATGTGTAGTCCTATGTGTGTGTGGTCCAGAATGTGGGAATTGTAGTCCTGTGTGTGGTTGGGGAGGGGGAGTTTAGCCCTGTATGTGTAGTCCTGTGTGTAGTGTAGTCCTGTATGATGTATGTGTGGGGGATGTATAGCCCTGTATGTGTAGTGTATTCCTGTATGCAGTCCTGCATGTGTGGTGGAAGTGTAGTCCTGAATGTGTGGTGGAAGTGTAGTCCTGTGTGTAGTGTGTGTGTGTGGGGGGAAGTGTAGTCCTGTGTGGGGGATGTGTAGCCCTGTATGTGTAGTCCTATGTGTGTGTGGTCCAGAATGTGGGAATTGTAGTCCTGTGTGTGGTTGGGGAGGGGGAGTTTAGCCCTGTATGTGTAGTCCTGTGTGTAGTGTAGTCCTGTATGATGTATGTGTGGGGGATGTAATGTGTGTGGTGGGGGGAGATTAGCTCTGTATGCAGTGTATTGCTGTATGTGTAGGGGAAGTGTAGTCCTGTATGTTGTATGTGTGGGGGACGTGTAGCACTGTATGTGTAGTACATGTAGTCCTGTATGAGATGAGCAGTCCTGTGTGTAGTGTAGTCCTGTGTGTAGTGTATTCCTGTATGTGTACGGGAAGTGTAGTACTCTATGTGTAGTCCTGTATGTGTAGGGGAAGTGTGGTCCTGTATGTGGGAATTGTGTAACCCTGATGGTTGTGTGGCCCTGTGTGTATGTGGGAAGTGTAATCCAGTGTTATGAGCGGCTGTGCGTCCGCCCTCCCGCGCCTCTCCTGACACACAGCACTTCCTGCTCCTCCCCCCCCCTCCTCCCGCACACAATCATCGCCCAGCCCCGCACTCAGCTCCAAACTGAAAACAAAACTTTTCCTTCTCGGAGCACTTTCGCTTCTTGTCGTGTCCCGGCCGCCTGTTTTCGGCTCGCCTCGCCCTTCGTACGGACGGTGCTCCCCGGCTCCTCGTATCAGGCGGTGCAGCCATGATAGCGGGCTCGGCTGAGTAGCACAGGGGGCCCTGTCTGTCAAACGCACCTGGCGCTGCACGTGGAGGTCTCGGTATGCCCCTATGTGCCCGGCTCTTGCCCCCCACCGGAGGATCCAAGCCACGCGGGCCCTGCTCTCCCCTCTGCCATGCGGGTTAGATAGATCGGAGCAGCCAGTCGCTTGTTTGTACTCGGGATTCGGCCTCGGAAGCGGGCAGCGATGGATGGGGACCGGGTGAGAGGCGCCGAGCCGGCAGCCAGCGGTGTCAGTAAGGAGGAGGCGGCCATGGACACTTACCTAAGGTCTAAGGGACTGTACAGGAAGAAGATCGCTAAGGACGGCTCTTGTCTGTTCAGGGCAGTGGCGGAGCAGGTACTGATCACCATGTGGGTAATAATGGTCATCATCATGCCCGGGCTCCCCATCCTGTCACTGTGTTGGGGCTGACTGCAGTCATTGAACGGTAATTCCCCCTCAGGGAGCTACTCCCATACAGGTCTAAGGCTGTATACCATTATACGTTGGACTGGAGTACACCACCCCCAACACAGACTGTCTGCACCCATACACCTGTGTTAGTGATGAGCCCAGTTCACCCAACAAGGCTCAAAACTCTGCCAGACTGACACCCCCTCCTCCTGACCTGAAGACGCATTACCCGCCTCTAAGAGCCCGCGGAGCCTAAGCACAGTCCAGATAAGTAGGTGGGACCCTGATTGGCCTTCCCAGTGGATGGTCCCAACAGCTAATGGACAAGATCTTCTCCTCCTTCCCTGCACAGGGGCCTGGACACCAATAGGGAAGGAACCTGTCCATCAACCGGTTATCATGGCAAGTGGGCAGGACCACCCTCTTTCCCTAGAGGCAGCCCATGCCAGGCTCAGGCCATCCTGCTGACTTGATGGAGGGCTGCCTGTAACCCCCTTATTGGTGGCCCTGTACACATCAAAAGGAGCCCATGCCAAACTCAGGCCACCCTGCTGACTTGTTGGAGGGCTGCCTGTACCCCCCTTATTGGTGGTCCCGTACACATCACAAGGAGCAGGGAATGGCTACCACAATTGCTGTCACGGATTGGGTCGGGTGGAGGGAGAGTGGCAGTCAGAGTTTACTCAGAGGAACCAGGTGCACACCAATCCCAGTCTCACCTCTAATGTGTCTACTGAAGTCCAGCATACAGCCATTGACACCTATGGGAGGCTGTGCATAGCATCTGTTGCGCCATTTTGGGGGAAATACAGCAGAATTGACTGTGTACGCCCACAGATGCCTCTCTGCACAAGCTCTTATACCCCTTGTTCTTGTCTCTTTCACTTTGGCCGCACAGCTTACTTATACAACATTATAGTCATCATTAGGACTAGGGATGTATACCTTGCTTTCAGATCAATGAGATATATATATATATTATACAGCTCTGAACGCAGCAGTTTTGTATGCCATGAGCCGTGAAGCCTCTTTTATAGTTTGCAGTGTATAACCACATGAACCAAAACTAGATAAAAATCTGCGTTCACTGTCCTGCATTAGGGGCCGTACTTTACACTGTGCACATGTAAATGTTTGTGCTAATGTGGGCATGCATATAGTGTATGGACCAGGCTTGGAGCCAACATTGTTTACATGTCAGTCCTGAATGAGTTGTTCAGTTGGCACATGGCACTAAAGTAATTCTGTGTCTGCTGTGCCGCCTCCATATCAATGACTCATTCAGGGCAGACATGTAAATAAAATGGTGTATTATCAGTGGGCGCTGTCACCTCTGATTACACTATTCATGTCGGCCCATTCGACTCATTCACTCGGCAGGGGACAAGTAAAGAGCATTCAAGTTTCCTATACTTATCTCCTAGCTCCTATGGGGTCTATGTCTGGACCAGTTCGCATGCCTTATATGTTTTACACAGTAAAGTCAGTACATCTGTGAGGACTTAAACTGCTTGTCTAGACAAAGCCTTTGTTTTTGTTTTTAATCGTGTCCCCTGTAAAGTTTCTATTACTGTCTATGTCCTTGCTATGTAGATTCATGAGATGCTACACAGAAGACATGCCATAAGAAAATAAATAGGAACAACAAACACTCGGCTAGAAATTAGTTGCGGCCCTTTATTATAATATGTATTAAAATATAACCATTCAAACAAGTAGCAAAATAAGCACAGGACAAACTTGTTGCAAAATATCACACCCAGGCCAGTCACCGTGAATTTGGGCTGCAAACAGTACCAAGTGACTTTAATACAGCTGTCTTGAGGCTTATATAGGGTCGCTGGCCCCTTCTAGAAGGTTCCTAAAAGTCAGCTGGCAGTCACAAGGCACAGGTGAAACGGCTGGCATGAGGTGGGGGCCTGCAATGAGACTGCAGGCTGCCATGATCTAATGAGGGTGGGGGTCCTTAGGTTCCCACCAAATCCAATTATTCTCTCTACATGTTCTTGTGACAATTGTCACAGAGACCGAAAGTAATGAGAAATCTGAAATGTTAAAGTTTTCACCAGAGCAGGAAAAATAGTGCTTAGGGCCCATTCACACCAGCCGCTGGTGTGTGGTGCCCAGTACATCGCACTGTGTGCCAATGCGGTGGTGTGAATGATGTCCATCCGTGATAAGGCAAATTGGAAAAAAATGGCCAGCACAGCCCCAACACATCTGGTGTGAATGGGCCCTAAATCTTTCCATTGTCAGGAGTCTAAAAAGTGAATTCTCCTCACTTGTGTCTCTGAGTCAGAAAGTGAAAGGAAATCGCCCCAAAAGGACACAGACGGCAAAATAAACTGACTACTTTTAACTTTTACCTACTCCTTTTCAAAACCGTGAGGAAAAAGGTTGGCTATACAAACTCTTCAGTAGAAGACTAGGCTAATAGATGAATACGTCTCCTTTTCTGACTTTCTAAATATGTTAGTTGCTCATCTGTGTTTGCATTCAATACTTCCTGGTTACTAACCTGGAAGAAGCATGCAGAAAGCCTGACCTGTACAGTATATGTCAAGGTCAGAGACTTGGAGTAGTAAAGTCATTGGATCCGTACAAAAGCAAGGCCTTTGGCAATTTTAGAAGGCGATTTCTACAATGGCAGACTCTTAATTTGTCTCTGCAGAAGTTTCCTTTAAAGTGGAAATGAGCTGCTATGGGTCACAAGAGCATTTACCACCCTGCAAGTAATCATGTCATACCTGCACATTATGGAAAACATACATCTCTGTTTTCCTTCCTGCAATGTAGCTGCCATCTTCTTCTGGACCAATGTTTTTTTTGGTACCCAATGGCGATGTAGCTTCCACAGCTGGGCTGAACTCTCTGTATGAGCATGGAGTTTATGATTGAAAAGTTGCCAGCAGGCTGGTAAAGCAGTATTTTTGGTAAAGGGGAAATTTTGAAGGGGTTTATTTTCACTGCCTATATGCTTCTCTATAGTTGAGAGAATAAAGATGGCTGGTTTCATTAAAGTGGTGGAATTTAGGGGAAATGTTTTGTGTTCTACAGTTAAAACAGAACAGTAGTCTAAACTTTTTTTTCAGTTGAAGGGTTGGATGCCCTTTCAGATTTGTGTTGCTGCTTGTTACCCTTATATTACCCTTCACTTTCTGTCTGAGTGACAACATTGCTTTGATGTATATGAAGAAGCATTGACATGACTAAACGTTGAGTTTACAGGAATCCTCTCATAATAGAAGCTATTGCCTATAGTTTTTGAAGGTACATGCATTGGACACTGTCTAGTTATTGCTCACTGATCTGCAACACGCATGCAGCCAGTGAAGTGTCGGATCACCTGGTGAGCTTATACTATGAGGGGAATTTATCAAAGCTGGAGCAGCTGTGAATGGCAACTAAAACTGCTTCTCTCTTTCATTTTCAAATCTTAACTGAACAAACTTAGGGTATCTAAACCCTCCGGTGTTTTTGCATATATCTACTGCTAGCAAGCAGTAGATATATGCAAAAAGTAAAAAAAAAATGCTTTAAAAGCGTTCCCGTCCGAAAATGCTCAGTCGGTCCACAAAGCATCTTGGGGCGGGCGCATGCGCAATTCGGATTTTCGGCCGGGAGACGGGGAGAGACACAAGGTAAGTCTATGGACGGGTGCACCCACATGCAGACACCGTGGGACAGGAAGTGCCAGCAAGAACAGAGGAGTCAGCGCTGGATCTGACACTCGCCGCAGCGCTGGAGAGAAGGCTGAAAACGACAGGAAAGATCAGATTAATAGACATCATTTAAGGTAAGTGTTTTAATTAGCATTGGGGGAGGGTAAAAACTTTGCCTTTTAATGTCACTTTAAGAGAGAAGCTGATTGGTTGCCGTGAACATCTGCTCCAGATTTTGTCTGCCCCACTTTTGATAATTCCCCTCGGTATGTTTTTAGGTCATACAAGTAGTGAATGAAAGATCATGAACAATGTACTTTACACCTATAAAAGCTTATGGCTCCCATACCTCTATTTTAACAAGCTCCTTTATAAGGAAGAACTCGGCAAAGATTTCTTAGAACAGTGTTGACAATGGATCTTAACCTATACCTTGTTGAAACATCCTCCTTTTAAAGGGTAGAAGCCTAAAAAGTTACCGATAAAGTAGTTTTAGTTCTCAAACTTGGAGATTGAGAGCTAATGTAAGAGCTCCCTGGGTTGTCCTTTAATAGTGCCATCAGGATGACATGACCCTGACTGGTGTGTGTTCCATTGAGGGTTCATGGTAGGAGTGTATCTGGTGAAGCCAACACTAATTGATCCGGATTGCATGCTTGTTTCAGGTCTGTAAACTGCTAGGTAATGAAGCCAGAAACAGGATTTTAAAAGCAGAAGTAAAAGCATAAAAAAAAAATTAAGTCCCCTAAAGCTTTTAGCTAGGGCAGCAACAACTAATCAATTAAATTGATAATCGATTATGAGAATAATTGGCAACTATTCTCATTATCTGTTGGGGGAAGGGGGGTAAGATTTTTTTTTTTTTAATGCAACCAATCGATTAGTTGAAAAAATAAGCAGGCAACTAATCGATTATGAAAATAGTTGTTAGCTGCAGCCCTACTTTTAGCTATAATGTGCTAGTGTGCACAGCATATTAGCACATTATCGTGGACTGCCAAAGTGATTACCTCCCGACGCTGCGCTCCTCCCTCTTGGAAGCTTCCAATGTGCCCAGTCTTCTGGATTTCGAGACTTCGAGAACTATGGGGTAAGTGTTTTTCCCCATAGTTCTCTTTAGGGTCACAGGAGGACATATACTAACCTCCTCCCCTGGCCCAAAGCTAAGTATATCGCGTGCTATTGCCCACGATATACTGAGAGCGCCGCAGCCATGGCGGATCCCGACATTACAGTCGAGATCACCCCAGCTGCATGAGTGACAGCTAGCTCTGCCTATCTAGAGGCAGAGCCAGCTGTGCCCGCCCCCTCCCCTGTTTATTCCTCCACTCAGCGCTGGAGGTATGTAGAGGGGAAGGGGGAATCCCTGCGGGGAGTGCGCTGACTGCATGAAGATGATCGGGAAGTGCATGTTTCTGCTCACTTCCCGACCGATAGAGCCGAACGGTGACAGCTTCTTTGTCACAGGTCAGCTCTAACTATGAGGATGAGTGGAAATCACTCGCCTCATCGCCTTTAAGCCACTTGATTGGGCCTCAGTGATGTCATTCACAGGCATTTTTTTTTTTTAAAGCTATACTTCCACCTTAACTTTGAATTCTGAACGTTCTAAAACAAGCCATCAGTGTACTCCTCCACATTTCTACCTTCAAATGATCACTTTAAGCAGATAAGGCCTTATTGTATTATTTATTCCACAGTGAAGTTATTTGTCCTCGTACATAGCCAAGGAAGGTGCCATTGGCCTCTGTTTGAATTGCATATACCATGGTGCCGCACATGTGATTAGCTATAACACCAGCCATTTGAGGGCTTTAAAGTTCGGTTGAGAGCTGAAATAAGTACACTGGCAACCTTGACAGTTGGCTGCCTTGAAAGAAACTGTTTTAGGGACGTTAAATTGGTGGGTCTTGTTCCACTTTAGGTATGTCAGTAAATGTATGAAAGAATTTCAAATGTTTATTCATCATGTATGAATCTGCCAGGGGCTGTATGTAACACCTGTCTGTTCCATATATCCCTATGCAGAGCTTGTACCTACTCGTTTAGTATAGGCTGGGCTTACATACTCTATAGTTCTTGTACAGTTAATGCTTTATTGGAAAATGTCTTAGTGACACCAAACACAGACGTTAAACCTTAAAAATGAATTCAAGTACCTTTTAAAGGAGAACTATGAGGTGAGCGATTTACACTCATCCTCATAGAGCCGATGTGTGACATTGAAACTGACTCTATAGTACGGATAGTGAGCAAACACATAATGTCGCTCACTCACTTTCCAATCATCTCCTTGCAGAGAGCTGTGACTGTCAATCGCCGCTCCCTGCAGAGATTCCTCCCCTCTCCGATCCTCTAGCGCTGACCGGAGGAATCTGACCAAGGAACTTATCTGTGAAGGCGTCCACAAGGTTTAGGAGTGTGTCTATGGGAATGTTTGACAATTCTTCCAGAAGCGCATTTGCAAGGTCAGGTACTGATGTTGGACGAGGTCAGAACTCTGTGCAGACCAGTCAAGTTCCTTTACCCCAAACTCGCTCATCCATGTCTTTATGGACCTTGCTTGGTGCACTGGTGCGCAGTCATGTTGGAACAGGAAGGGGCCATCCCCAAACTGTTCCCACAAAGTTGTGAGCATGAAATTGTCCAAAATATCTTTGTATGCTGATGCCTTAATAGTTCCCTTCACTGGAACTAAGGGGCGGAGCCCAACCCCTGAAAAACAACCCCACACCATAATCCTCCCTCCACCAAACTGTAAAGTTTGTTGGAGGCAAGTACCGTTCTGGCAACCGCCAAACCCAGACACGTCCACCAGATTGCCAGACAGAAGTGTGATTCGTCACTCCAGAGAACACGTCTCCACTTCTCGAGTCCAGTGGCGGCGTGCTTTACACCACTGCATCTGACACTTTGCATTGCACTTGGTGATGTAAGGCTTGGATGCAGCTGCTCGGCCATGGAAACCCATTCCATGAAGATCTCTACGCACTATTGTTGTGCCAATCTGAAGGCCACATGAAGTTTGGAGGTCTGTAGCTCATTGACTCTGCAGACAGTTGGCGACTTCTGCGCACTGTGCGCTTCAGCATACGCTGACCCCGCTCTGTCATTTTACTTCGTTGCTGTTGTTCCCAGTTGCTTCCACTTTGTTGTAATACCACTAAGGCTGTCCCTACACCTTGCGATCATCGAATTACACTTTTCGTCCGATCGAACCGTCGTACGATTTTCGTATGGTGGCCCCATCCTGCCTCGATTATCGCAAGGTTGGATCAGCAGTAATTAGAATAAAGCACCTGGATGAATTGCGCTAATTGACAGCACATATTTTCGTCTGTATGTGCACTGTAAGGCCCCATTCACACACGAATCGGCCTGCACGTACAGCTCCGTGGGGGGCCGTACTAAGCAGCTGCCGGCAAGGACAGGTGCTGCTTGTGATTAGTACGCAGCCCCCGTCCTTCTCTATGGGGCTACGCGGCCGGACGCCCCCCTACGCTCACCTCAATTGTAGGTACTTAGGGGTGGGGTTTTTCTGGCCGGGACGCATACAGGATACATTTCGGCGGCGTATAAATACGCTCACCCGCACCCCTATGGACCTGCAATTGAGGTGAGCGTAGGGGGGCGTACGGCCGCGTAGCCCCACAGAGAAGGACGGCAGCTTCTTGGTACGGCCCCGCACGCAGCATGGAGCTGTACGTGCAGGCCGATTCGTGTGTGAATGGGGCCTTAATTGTACAAATTTTGATGTTTGGAAACGCCACCAACCTTGCGAAAATCGTACGATCGACCGAAGTTTTCTAACCTGCTGTTTAGTCAAAAGTCGATAGATTGTACAGTATTTGCGGTTGTACACTGCCCATCAACCTTACGAATATCAAACGAAAATGCGATCGCATACGAAAATCAGCCAATTTTCGTGAGGTATATGGGCACCTTAACAGTTGACTGTGGAATATTTAGTAGCAAGAAAATGTAATGGATGGACTTTTGCACAGGCTGCAGCTTATCACGGTACCACACTTGAATTAACTGAGCTCCTGAGAGCTACACATTCATTCACAACTGTAGAACAGTCTGCATGCCTAGGTGCTTGATTTTATATACCTGTGGCCATGGAGGAGATTGGAACCTGAATCCAATGATTTGGAGTGGTGTCCCAATACTTTTGGCAATATAGTGTATATAACTGTGGGAAACTACCTTCGAGAGTATTTTTGGGAGTGAAGATGGAAAAATGAAGACAGGGAATAGAAGGGCAGGCTGGGCCTGGGATGAATGTGGAGTAGTTCTTAATAATTGTTATTTAGATATTTTTATATTTAATGTATGGTACCACTTGGAGTATGTCTAATGTTGTTTATTTTTTCATTCTTTTTGTTTGTATAATTGTAAAAAATTGAATAAAGAGTTATTTATAAAAAGGTTTACAACTTACATAATTAACCTACTCCACCCTTGCTCCTAGGGATTCCCACTTTTCACCTTGCTGAAATGTATCATAGAAATATGCATAGTATTCTGTTTACTGAATTTCTTTTATGTTCTTACTTATAGGTTTTGCACTCTCAGGCACGACACTTAGAAGTCAGGAAATCCTGTATAAAGTATCTGCGTGAGAACAGGGCCCTCTTTGAAGCTGTAAGTAAAATGTGGATTTACCTAGATTCTTTTTTTTTCTTCTAGATTTTAATGGTGTCCGCGATTTTTAAAAAATCTATAACCAATATTTTATGGGCGAACTGTTGCTATAAAAATGTTTCTCTGTGGCATAAAGTAACTTGTGTGGTTAAAGGAGGACTATGGGGTAACCTTTTTTTCCCATAGTTCTCTTTAGGGTCACGGGAGGACATATACTAACCTCCTCCCATGAACCAAAAATCAGTATATCGCGGGCTATTGCCCACGATATACTGAGAGCTCCACTGCCGGGACAGATCCTGACATTACTGTCGAGATCCACCCCGCTGGCTGATTGACAGCTCTCTCTGCCTATCTAGAGGGAGAACCAGCTGTGCCTGCCCCCTCCCCTGTCCGTTCCTCTAGTCAGCACTGGAGGATCGGAGGGGGGGGGGGGGAGGCCCTGCAGGGAGCGGTGACTAATGCACTGCTCTCTGCGGGGAGCGGTGACTGATGCACTGCTCTCTGCAGGGAGATGATCAGGAAGTGAGCAAGCTGCGTTATGTTTTCGCTCACTTCCTTATCAATAGAGCCGGCGTGTGACAGTTTCAATGTCGCACGTTGGCTCTAACTATTGGCATGAGTGTAATTCGCTTAGCCCATAGTTCTCCTTTAAAATAAACAAGCCAGACTTAAAGAACAACTCTGGGCAGGATAAAACTTAACTCTTGCAGTGGGGCTACCCCCATACTGCAAGGGTTAAGTGCTCATTTTGGTCTAGGGTCTAAAATAACAAAGATCTACTCACCTGAACCTCAGGTCCCTGCAGCCTCTTTTCAAGAGAGCGTTCTTGACTTAAAAGAAAACTTTGGGGTAAGTGTTTTTCCCCATAGTTCTCAGGGTCATGGGAGGGCATATACTAACCTCCTTCCATGACCCAAAGCTCAGTATATAGCGGGCTATTGCCCACAATATACTGAGAGCGCCGCAGCCGGGACGGATCCCAACAATACTGTCTGGATCTACCCAGCTGCGTGAATGACTGGGCTCTA